AAAAAAAAAAAATCAGAAATCCTGGGGCCACACCAAATACTGGCTTCCCCAGGAAGTGACTGGTATCTCCCCGTAACTGTTACTTCCTCATAATCGTCTCAGAGACTGGTGGTACAGCCACTGAGAACCTGGTTAGCTTTCACAATGTTCCACAGGTTTCCCAACACACACACACACACACACACACACACACACACACACACACACGTGCATAGTTATGAAATATTACAAGAAACATTCCTAAAATTTCTGATCTTAACTCTATAGCTCCTTTGGACTTGATGTTCAACTTCAGACTAGTCACTTCAATGTCAGAACTCTCTACTTTTTTCCCAATTAAAGATAAATCATGTCTTCTAAGGATGCATTTATTAGAGGCCTTTCACTTCCTGAGCGGTAGGAGCTTTGAAAACTCCCAACGAGCACTGCTGTTGTTTTCATCTCTATCAGCCATGTCTACCGTGCTTCGAGTCAGCGATTTTCATAGCCTGGGCTTTGGATCTGCAGCACTGCAGCACTGGGAACTTGCTGGAAATGCAGAGACTCCAGTCTGGCCCAGCTCAGCCCAGTCCTACTGAATCAGACACCCAGCGTGGAGCCTCCACCCCGCAGGGATCCCGGCCCACACCCATGTTGAGAACGCTGCTCCAAGCTCCATCTCCACAATGTAAATGCTCTTGTTTTCAGGAAAGTATTCAAGAACAGACTTTTTTTACTTGCTTGGCATTTTATTATAATATATTACAAAGTGCTAGAAATATATTTATTTCTGTATTATCCTGCTGCTCCTATTCTACAACTACCCAATTGTATCGGTCGTGCACATTCTGGGCCAGGTATTGAGCTAAACACCTGTAAGGGGCTGTCCCATGTAATCCCCCAAGTCCCCAAGGAGGTTGGTGCCATGACTATTTTCAGTTGAACGGGTGACGGTGAGCGAGTAGGAAGAACTTCATGGGGCAAGTCCCCCAGCCTGGGATCAGATCAACAAGAAACGGACTCGAGGTATTCTGTCTCAAGAGCCTGCAGATCTAATTACGGCTTCTGAGAATCAGCCAAGAGTTCAAGACAGGTGTCCTCTAAATATAACTCGATCTCCAAGAAAACTTTTTGAAGTGTGCCAGGGCTACTCAATTCTATTTTGTAATCCTTGAACTTGGATATAAAGCGTGATAGAAAGCCCCTTAGTTCACCAGGACATTTTATAAGGCCAGAATGCCTTACAGTAGAAAATGGGATGTAGCCATACAGAAGACAAATGAATGATTTAGGGCTTAAAATACTGACTCCTGAGGCCAGCAGGTGGCATGGAGGTTAAGGAGCTGGACTCCATATGGCCTGGTTGGTGGTCTGAGTCCTCAACCTGGTGACTTGAAAATTCTGCCAGGTGCCTGTGCGTGCATGCCCAAAACCCCCTGAAGAGAATGAAGAAGGGACAGTGACATGGCCATCTCCCCACTTTCTCCCTCTCTCTCTGTCTCTCTTCTTGGTGAGTGCACTTGCCCTACAGCAAATAAAACAGCAAACTTATTCCCTCTCTGTACTACTCATCTACAGAATTACAAAGTACTAGAAAGAGGGCAGAGTCAAAACCCTGTCTAATATGGCCAACTGCTGACCCAGTTGTGGGGCTTTATTTTTGTCAATTCCCTTCAGCACTATAAGACTGACAATTTTTTTAAAAGAATTATTTTATTTGGGATTAGCAGTTGGCATAATGGCTATGTTGCTGGACTTCCATGTAGTTGACCGTGGTTTGAGTCCTGGACCTGGTGGCTTAAACTCAGGCCAGGTGCGTGTGCATGCCCAAGATCCCGAGAGGAGAATGGAGACGGGATTGTGGTGTGGCCATCTCCCTGGGAGGCGATGTCTCGCTTTCTGTCTCTCTCTGTCTGTCTGGCTAGTGGATGCACCCTATAGCAAAAACCTCTCCGAAAGAGAAAAAAAGAATGATTTTATTTAACTTTATTAATTAATTAATTTAATTTGACCAGAAAGGGACAGAGAGAGAGAAAGTAAGCCACCAGGTCCAGGACTCAAACTGTGGTCAGCCATGTGCGAGTTCAGCACCCTTAACCACCACGCCACCTGCCGGACCCCAAGACTGACAAAGTTTGGGAAAAATGCTTGGAAGGTAGTGTTGGATTTGTTTCCACATTAAAAACAAGTTCTGCACTGGGTTTTCTGTCGCTTACATTCACGCCTTGACCACTCCGATGTCCACACCCAAACACGCCTGCCCTCACCTCCTCGCCCACCAGCACACGTGCCAACCGAGTCCCTCCCGAGTCCTCCGTGTTTTGTGGCTAGAACCCAACTTGCACAGATTAATGGACGCCAGGGGTGGCACTAAATGGCTGCTCACCCTTGAAAAGAGAAATAGAATGAGTTCTAGCCACAGCGAACCTTTGCCTGATGAGGAATCCAATCCATAATATGCCCTGGAACAAGTGGATTAAAACAGAGAAGCAGGGTACCCCCTAGACCTCCCCCGGAACTCTAGCTGTGCCCCATCTAGAGGTCAGACACCCCCTGGGAAGCCCACTGTTCTGTCTCCATGGAGAGTGGGAGTCTCTGGACCTGTCTCCCTCACTGTTCACATCCTGGATGGTGCTTTTAGTGGGGTGGGCACCTGGGTTTTCCACCAGGATAAAGGGATTCCACTTTTTTTTTTTTCATTTTAATTCTTGGGAGTTTCTTCATAGGGCGTGTGCTCTTGCTGGAGAGAGACAGAGAGAGGGAAAATGGGAACTCACCCCTCAGGGGGATGGCCACACCGTAATCCCTTCTCTTCCACTTTCCTCTTGGAACCTTGAGCACATACACACACATGCCTGGTGTGACTTCCAAGCTGCCAGGTCTGGGACTCAAACTGCAGTCGGCCACATGGGAGTCCAGCGCCTTAACCACCACCGCACCTGCCAGCCCCTCCAGTTGGGTTCTTAAAGAGTAAAGGGGTGAATGTCCAGCCCACACACGGCCTTCGAGGTACCCCAGGAGTATGTGGTAGTCGGTGCCATCTTATGACCTTCCTGAGGGGCCAGCCCTGCAGCCTGGTGGTTAAAGGAGCCGGATCCCACGTAGATCGTTGTAGTTCAAGTCCTGGTCCCGGTGGCTTGAAAAACAAGCCTGATACATGTACGTGTATGGCCTCTAATGCCAACAGGAAGAAGAAACGGAAGAAAAGGGATTGCAGTGTGACCACACCCCACTGGGAGGATGCTCTCTCTCCCTCTCTCTCTCCCCTGCCCCCCTCTGTCTCTCTGTCTCTCTCCGGTAAAATCATGCATCCTCTGGCAATTGAAACAAAAAAGACCTGCATATTTTTAGAGGTCCCCCATTCCCCATTCTATCAAATAGATTAAAATGAACCTAATATATGAAGCTTATTAAAATACATACTCAGTACATATATATCCATGAACACGCACATATACTGAGTATGTATTTTAATGTGTTTCACATATATTCTTGCTTTAAATCAATTTTAAATACTAAAATGTTTGGTTATGAGTAACATGTTTAATCTATAATCGTAAATAATTTCTCAGTAATCCTCATGGAATTACTATGGAGTAAAAACAAAATCTGATTTCTATATTGTTGTCAAATTAAATGGACATTGTATGAATGATAAGATAACAATGAAATTGGCATAATATTAAGATTATAAACTTATAAAATTAGGTACTGATTTCTGGTTTTGTAAATTGTGCTTTTCGGTTTTGGAGCCAACACAAGGACTTTTTGTGTTCTATTTTTTAGTTTTTTTGCCATAGGGCATGTGTATTCACCAGAGGGAGAAAAAGAGACAGAGTTAGAGGGAAAGTGAGAAATTACTCCTTAGGGGGGATGGCCATGCCATAATCCCTTCTCTTCCAATGTCCTCTCAGGGATTTTGGGCACATGCATCCATGCCCAGTGTGATTTTTCAAGCTGCCAGGTCTGGGACTTGAACTTTCATCAGTCACTTGAGAGTTTAGCACTTTAACCTCCATGCCACCTGCTTGTCCACAATGACTGCTCTTTCTTTTTCTTTTTTGTTTTTGGTTTTTGTCATAGGTCACATGTAGAGAAAGGAAAGGTGAGAAATTGTCCCCCAGGGGGGATGGCCATACCATAATCCCTTCTCCTCCATTCTCCTCTCAGGATTTTGGGCACGCACACATAAATATCCAGCCTGATTTAGGGGTCCAGGGCTCGAATCACACTGTTGGCCATGTGGCATTCAGCACTTTAACCGCCAGGCCACCTGCTGACCCCCTGCAAGGACTTTTTAAGGTCCCTAACACTGGTACAGGTCCCTGACTTATAAAATGGCTTGGCAGCCAGGGTTCCTGGCTTGGCCGGATGGAGAAAGCAGCCCCTTGTTCTCCATTCTGAAGCTGCTAATTCAACCCCCATGTGCCGTGGCAGAGTGGCAGACAGCGGGGCTCCGGGGACAGCGACATAAAGGAAGTCACCTTCTCCGAAGGACAGAGTACTCCTACAGACAGGCCCAGCACACGAGGACCTGAAGAAGAGTGTTTCCTTCTCTTTACCTTGAGAACCGAGATTTGGCAGATGTAGTTGGTTGGTTTCAGGCATCTTGTCCAGAAATGGAAATGTCAGGGTTGCTTCCGGCTCTGGAGATTTTGGCTTTACCACCTGGACCGTGGGCACAGACACAGACAGGACGAGGGTTGTCCATTAATACACACACACGTGAGATACAACGGAAGGAACATGGCTGGTACAGGGGTCGGTAAGCTCACACACTTAACTTTTAAGTGGAATTCTTTTGTTTCTTCCCTAAAACCTTTTATCTTTTCTGTTCTTTCTTTCTTTCTTTCTTTCTTTTTTTTTAAGGGAGACTTTCGCTTTAGGGCATATGCGTTTGCCAGAGAGACAAAGTGAAAAAGAGAGAGAGAGAGACAGAAATGGCAATGCTGCAATCTTCCCCTCTTGGGATTTTGGGCACGCATGCACACGCGCCTGGAGCGAGTTTTAAGCCAGGGCTCAAACGACAGTTGACTATGTGGGAGTGTGGGGACACGTTTAAGAGAGAGAATCTGAGGTGTGGGGACTTGCTCTGAGCAAACCCCACCTGCTCTTTTGGGGTTTGGCAGAACCTTGTAACTTGTCTTTCCCTGACCTTGGCTGCAGACAGAGCAAGGGTGGAAATTCCTAGGGGCCTTCCAACAGACACAAATGATGGACTTCAAGAAACATCTTGACCCCAATTAGTAAAGTCCAATCCCTGCCCTGCATCTGAAAGGTTCTTTAGCCTTCTCTGGGTGTGGTGGTGCACTCCTTACGGAGAAGTTCTTTAGCTCCTTCCCCACAGCTAACAGCTAGTTCTCTGCATTAGAAAGGAAGATGAGATTTGCTCTAGATGGGATTACCCCCAAGGGATACACCTTGGCCCTGGTATGACTAATCTCTTATAGATTTGTTAACTGCTTCTTACTGTCTGTAACCTGGCAACCAATCCATGAAGTATCATGAAACATACATGTGTAATGTCTCCTTGTACTATAAGTAAAGACGTCCAGTTCATCTGGGCGGCACAAGTTGCTTGGGCTACCTAGGCTCAGGCTGCCTGTGTCCATTTCCACTCGATCTTTTTGTCTCATCTTTTCTGCTTCTTCCATAATAGCGCTAAGCCCTGGGGGCGGACGCCGACCTGGGAGTCCAGCGACGTAACCACTATGCCATCTGCTCATTCCACCCCTTTCTTGGTTTTCTACATTAATTGAATAGAGAGTCCGCTTTTTAGAAAAAAATCAGACAGAAGCATACAATGTGATGACCCCTTTTCTCCAGACCCAGGAGACAGTATTCTATCTTTGCAATTACACATCACTCCATCTCATTTTCTTACTGACCAATATATAATCTCCTCCTAGAGCCACACAATACTGAATTTCTAATGTCAGGAAGTCAAATGCTCTATTCAGATAATTAAAACAAACAAACAAACAAACAAAAAACACCTTACTCAGGACCAGCAGTTAGCGTAATGGCTATGTCACTGGACTCCCATGTAGTTGACTGTGGTTCGAGTCCTGGACCCGATGGCATAAACTCACACCAGGTGCGTGTGCGTGCGTGCCCAAGATCCCGAGAGGACAATGGAGGAGATGGATGTGGCCATCCCCCTTGGGGGGGGTGATCTCTTGCTCTCTGTGTCTCTCTCCTGCGAGCACACACACCCTATTGCAAAAATCTCTCCAAAACCCAAAAATATTGTTCTGAGGCAATGTTTATCAGATGGCTGAGAGCCCATGGCACAAAAACCAAACACATGTAAAGATTCCTGAGGGGCCAGCAGGTGGTGTAGTGGTTAGGATGCTGACTCCCACATGACCTACCATGTTGCAAGGAAGAAATTTTAGAACGTAAAACTTTAAAACCCATTACATCAAAATAATAATTGTCTAGGTTTCTTGTTATCCAAATCCAGAAGTTCATTGCTCTAAAACAGGTAAATATTGGAGAGAGGACAGTTAGTAACAGAGTGAAAAGCAAATAAGTGAGCTCACACATAGCCAACTACTATCTAACTGTAAGGTTTTAAACTTATATTGATATTATGTATTTCTTTTAAATGCATTGAGCCTTTGGGGCAGGTGGCGTAGTGGTTAAGAGCTCTGGACTCCCACATGGCTGATGGCAGTTCGAATCCCAGATCAGGCGGCTTGCTTTCTCACTTTTCCTCTCTTTTTTCTCTCTCTCACTCTGTCCCTCTCTGGCCAAATTAAAAATAAATAAATAAAATAAAGTTAAATAATAAAAATCTTTTAAAAAAATAAATAGATGCACAGAATTCTTTAAGACGGAAAAATCATTTAAAATAACATTGACAAGATGTCGAAAGACTATACACCCCTGTTACTTGAGAAAGGTTAAGTTTCAGAGACTTCTTCTCTATCATTCTAGTTTCATATCGACTTGTATAGTTTAAAATATATCTACATGTATTACTTTATATGTTTGATACATACATGTGTATCACTCTTCGTCCAGTATTTCTATATTTACTTTTTTTTTTTTTTAACAAGGAACATGTAGTATATTTGTATTTAGAAGAAAAGACAAAAACTGACCCCACAGTGTCAGGGTTCAGCACAGCGTTTATGCACTGTGCATTTAGCTAGGGACACCACACGGCTGGCCACGGTTCATATCCCAGCCCCGGCAGCTGGAAAAACACTCTGGGTGCGTCGTGTGCAAGGGCTCAAAATCCCAACAGAATGGAGGAATGGAATGACCATGCCCCCCTGGGGTGTGTTTTCTCGCTCTCTCTCTCTGGTGAGTGCACGTGCTCTCTGGCGATAAAAAGACAAAGGCAGATTGAAGACAAAGAAAAGATGAGAGAAAATCCCCCTTCGTTATTCGCCACGGCCACAGCAGCAGCCAGTGGCAGGCGGAGGCCGCACGACGCCCGGGGGCGGAGCCCGCACGACGCCTGGGTGTCACTTCACCTTCTGCGACAGCACCAACTCCACCTTGCCGCTCAGGTCGTGTTCTGGCTTCTGGTCTTTCTCGTCTGGCACGTCGTCCTTCAGCTGAGGGCTGGAGGAAAACTCCATGAAGGCCACGGCCGGGCTGCAGCGAGTCACAGTCGTCGTGAAATGCTGTGGCTCTGAAAGGCAGTCCCCCCACAAGCGTAAGTAAGGAAAAGAAGGCCATACAATGGACCATCTGTTCTACAATAACACGAAATGCAGGTGGTTTGTTCCCTGCCCTGGCACCAGGGAGCTGATGACAGGCTGAAAGACGCCTAAGCTCCTAGAATTCTCAAAGCTCTTTCGCAATATTATAAACGATAAGCAACATACAACACACCCACTAACTCCACTAAGAAAAACATACGTCCCTAATGAGAGTCACGGTTCCTACCTGAGCACCGCTACGTGAAATGAAATGCAGACAAAATATTTAGTGGCCGTGACGATCGGGTTGGAAAAGAAAACATCGACAGGAAATTTCTACCCTGATGGCTGAGGGGCGACCTGACTCCTCCTTTCACGTGTCAATGCCTTTTTTCTTTTTTTTTTTTTAAGAATTATTTATTTATTTCTGTTTGTTATTATTATTTCTTTCATTTGACCAGATAGAGACAGTGAGAAAGTGAGAAAGAGAAAGTGAAAAAGCAAGCCACCAGGTCCAGGACTCAAACCACGGTTGGCCACTGGGGAGTCTAGCGCCTTTATCCACCACGCCACCTGCCGGCCCCCAATATTTCAATGCTTTTTAACATCACATTTTGTTAATTGGAATGTGTTATGGATTATGGGATGTATGGGTAAAATGCATATCAGAACTAAGTGTTCTCTGATATAAGAAGAGTCAGGTACACTTTAGAGCTGGTGGAGAAGTCACTGCCCGAGGGAACAGGTCAGAATGCGGAGGCTCAATCTAGCCTGAAAAGTATATGTTATTCTTTTCGGTAATGACATTGATTTATTTAAAAATGCCACTTAAAACTAATTTGGTAATTTGGTACTGGCTGGGGCCGGCAGGTGGCATGGTGATTAAGGGTGCTGGACTCCCATACAGCTGACTGTGGTTCAAGTCCCGGACCCGACAGCTTGCTTTCTCACTTTCCCTCTCTCTCTCTCTCTCTCAGTCCCTCTCTGGTCAAATTAAAATACATAAATAAAGTTGAATAAAATAATTTTTAAAAAAAACTAATTTGGGGTTGGAAGAGGGGGGAGAGGCTTTAATGTTTATCAAAAGAAGAAATGCAGGAGCCAGCAACTGGCGTAATGGCTGTCACTGGACTCCCATGTAGTCGGCCGCGGTTTGAATCCCAGACCCAGTGGCTTAAACTCTCGCTGGGGGCAAGATCCCAAGAGGAGAATGGAGGAGAAGGGATTGCGGCATGACCATCCCCCCTGGGGGGTGATTTCTTGCTTTCTGTCTCTCTGTGTCTCTGTCTTTCTGGCGAACGCGCGTGCCCTATAAGAAAAAAAAAATCAAAAAAAGAAAAGAAAAGAAATGCATTAAAAATCCTGAAAGACCCATAGCAAAAGATCAGGGCAATACTCCAGGAGACAGCAGGTCCCCTCGCTAGACTCACTGTTCAGATCATGGCGTTACTTAATCTTTTAAACTATTCACGAGCTTTATCATCATAGCATCTATTTTGACGACAATCTTATCTACTGCAGTTACTACGTATCAAAATATGGTCCTCAATTTTAACATTATTCACGTGGAGAATACAATATTCTCTTTGATGATGGAGATACACTTTCAAGAAACAGCACATTGTGAACCAGCAGTTAGCGTAATGGCTATGTCGCTGGACTCCCACGTAGTCGACCGCAGTTCGCGTCCTGGACCCAGTGGCTTAAAACTCACGCCTGGTGCGTGTGCTTGCGTGCCCAAGATCCCGAGAGGAGAATGGAGGAGAAGGGATTGCGGCGTGACCATCCCCTCTGGGGGGGTGATTTCTCGCTTTCTATCTCTGTCTCTCTCTGTCTGTCTGGCAAGCGCACGCACCCTATAACCCCCCCAAAAAAAAAAAAAAAAAAAAAAAAAGAAACAGCACATCACCAGGTGGCAAAAATCAGGGTTCCTATTTTGAAGTTAGCTACGAGGGCTGAACTTCCTCCGGAAGCCTCTAGGTGGCAGCACAACCACACCTCTTGTCTAATTTGCCTTTTCGTAGCTCAATAGGAAAAAATTCTTGTAACCTAAGAGTTTAAGCATCATGTAGTTAAAAACTGGTCTGCCACAGAACAAACCTGGTGAAGTGAGCTCAGGATTCCCCTTTCTTGGTTTGCCACCATCATTCTCATCTTCTTGACTGTTCTGTGCGGTTTCCTCGTTGGTTGTCTGGAAAAGAGATTTTTGCTCCCATGAATTGACGAGTTCTTTCTGAGTTTGAGAAAGGTGAAGGATTTGTTTGTTTTGGATTTTGCCATAGGGCACGTGTGCTTGCTAGAGGCAGACAGAGAGACAGGAAGAGTGAAAGTGAGAAATCACCTACCCCCCAAGGGGGTGGTCTTGCTGCTTCTTGTCTGAGGATTTGGGGCATGCACGCACACATGCCTAGCATGAGTTTCAAGCCACCAGGCCCGGGACTCAAATCATGGTCTACTGTGTGGGTGTCCAGTGTCTTAACCACCATGCCACCTACTGGTCCCATTTATTATTATGTTTTTTATTTTTTAACTTTTTATTTATTTATTTATTTTTTGAGAGCTTTTTGCTATAGGGCACGTACACTTGCCAGACAGACAGAGAGAGATAGAGAGACAGAAAGCAAGAAATCACCCCCCAGGGGGGATGGTCATGCCGCAATCCCTTCTCCTCCATTCTCCTCTCGGGATCTTGGGCACACACGCACATGTGCCCAGAGTGAGTTTAAGCCACCGGGTCCGGGACACGAACCACGGTTGACTACATGGGAGTCCAGCGACATAGTCATTACGCTAACTGCTGGTCCCCATTTTATAAAAACTTTACTTATTTAATTTTTATTTGACCAGAGAGAGGGAGACAGAGAGAGAAAAATCTGCCAGGTCCAGGACTCAAACCACAGATGGCCATGTGAGAGTCCAGTGCCCTTAACTACCACACCACCTGCTGGCTCCCTGGCCCCATGGTTTTTGTAACAGTAATTTTTAGGTCAACGAGGAGGGTAGCTCACAGGAATTCATCCTCCTGCTTCCTGGGCAGCTAGCTTTATGGCGAGCACCTAGGTTGGCAGGAAGAGACCTTCTGAGGAGGGGAGTACCAGGGCTCCCTCCCACACCCTCCAGGCCTGTCCCACCTAGGACTCTGCCTCAGCCGAGGATCCTTTCTTTCACCATAGAACTTGCAAAGTCAGTTACCACCTGCTCGCTTCTGAACACTGTTCAAACTGGCTTATGGTCAGACCATGAAACAAAGTGTCTGTTTTTAGATTGCAATGAACCTCTTAGTGGAATGTCTTGGGCATAGCTGCCTGTCGTTCTTTTCTTCCTCTCTTTTCTTTCTTTCTTTTTTTTTCTTTCTTTCTCTCTCTCTCTCTTTTTTTTTTTTTTTTGGAGAGGTATTTGCTATAGGGCGCGTGCACTTGCCAGAAAGACAGACAGAGACAGAGAGACAGAAAGCGAGAAATCACCCCCCAGGGGGGATGGCCACGCCTCAATCCCTTCTCCTCCATTCTCCTCTCGGGATCTTGGGCACGCACGCACACGCGCCCTGCGTGAGTTTAAGCCACTGGGTCCGGGACACGAACCACGGTCGAGTACGTGGGAGTCCAGCGACATAGCCATTACACCAACTGCTGATCCCGCTGCCTGTCGTTCTTAGCATCATGGATTCTATTTATTTATTTATTTATTTAAGAATTATTTATTTTATTTATTATTTTTTAATTTTGCTAGAGGGCATGTGTGCTCACTAGAGAAAGGTGCATGCGTGTGCGCACGTGCGTGCACACACACACACAGGGAAAGTAAGAAAGCAAGTTCCTGAGGTCTGAGACAGGAACCGTGGTCGGCCATGTGAGAATCCAGGGCCCTACGCCCCGCATCACCTGCTAATCCCAGTGGATCTCGTTCTTGACCTTCTCCTCCTTCCTGGGCTCCCAATGACTCTCAGTCACTGGAATTCTTTTCTTTTTAATTAATGACAAAGAGAGAAGGTGAGAGCATGAGAGACGGGGTGGGGCGGGTGGGGGAGTGTCAAGACAGCCTGCTACTGCTATTACCAGCTGTCCCCTCTCACAGGTTAAACTTGCACACACCCCCGGAGTGGCCATCGCTTGCCCAGTCCTAACAGCAGCTCTGTATCCTCATCCCCCCACCTGTCCCCGCAGCTCAGGCCTGAGGTCAGCCTCTAGCCCTCATTTTTCCACCCAGGGTCTCTCTGATTCGAGTCTCGCAGTCTAATCCGCTGGGCACGTGACCGCTGCGTTCATCACAATCGCTAGAACCTCAACTTACCACTTTCATCCTTCTAGTTCTCTTTCCAGGGAGTGCCTCGATTGAAGCCAACTTATGTTTGATGGAATTTAATAATAAAAAAAAATTTAGAACAACCTAAACAACGTAGGCACTATTTAAGTAACGATTATTTTATTGTTATTATTATTTTGTTATAGGGCACGTGCTCTTGCTAGAGAGAGACAGAGACAGAGAGAGGGAAAGTGAGAAATCACTCCCCGGGAGGACAGCCATTCTACAATTCCTTCTCCTCCCAGGATTTTGGGTACACATGTGTATACACTCACACACACACACACACACACACACACACGAGATTTTCAACCCCACACACACGGGATTTCAAAGCCACTGGGCCCAGGACTTGAACTGTGCAGTCAGGCATGTGGGATCCAGCCACCTTAACTTCCACGCCACCTGTTGGGCCACACGAAGTATTACTAGCACGTCACATTTCTGTCATAGCTTACTTATGCATGACTAATGGAGAACTTTATTTTTTTTTGGAGAAATTTTTGCTATAAGGCGCATGCACTCGCCAGAAAGACAGAGACAGACAGAGAGACAGAGAGCGAGAAATCACCCCCCAGGGGGGATGGCCAGGCCCCAATCCCTTCTCCTCCATTCTCCTCTCGGGATCTTGGGCATGCGCACACACGCACCCGGCTTGAGTTTAAGCCACCGGATCTAGGACTTAAACAGCGGTCGACTACATGGAAGTCCAGTGACATAGCCATTATGCCAACTGCTGGTCCCACAAACTTCTATTTTCAGAAATTCCCACATTTCTAAATGCATTTCTGGATGGTGCGATACTGTAACACTGAGCTCTGGATAACCTAATTTATCTCATTGGAAAGTGATGCTTACAAGTGACACCCGGCCATCGATGTGGTAAACTGGCCATGGCGACAGGAGTAACCACAATCGATATTTATGACATTTGCCACGTGTCAGTGCCATTGAGGGACCTGACACGGATAATCTCACTCAATCCTCCTCGCAAGCTTACAAGGCAGGTACCAACACAACTCCCTTTTACATCCGAGGAAGCTGAGGCCCAGGTCATGTTGCTAGAAGGGAGGGGAGGTGGGAAGCGTTCCCTGCTGGTAACCTTTTTTTTTTAAAAAAAATTTTAATAGAATTACTTTATTTATCTTTCTTTCTTTACTTTGACCATAGAGGGACACAGAGAGAGAAAGTGAGAAAGCAAGCTGCCAGGTCCAGGACTAGAACTGCGGTCAGCCATGTGGGATCCAGTGCCCTTAACCACCACGCCACCTGCTGACCCTTTTATTTCATTTTTTTTTTTTTAAGAGAAAGATTTTTGTTATAGGGCATGTGCACTCACTGGAGACAGAGACAGACAGAAAGTCAGAGATCACCCCCTGGAGGGATGGCCATGCCACAATCCCTTCTCCTCCATTCTCCTCTTGGGATTTTTTTTTTTTTTTTCTCCTCTTGGGATTTTGAGCACACACACACATGTGCCTGGCAGAAGTTTAAGCCACTGGGTCTGGGACTCGAACCGCGGTCGACTCCATGGGAGTCCAGCGACGTAACCATTATGCCAACTGCTGGTCCCATGTTAACCTGATGTTCCATTATTGGGGCTTGGGGTCATAACTCCCTCTAAATTGTCCCCAGATATTTAGCGGTTTGATTCATAAGAAGCAATCTAGACCCTGCGAGTCTTGTTCATTGTTGAAATTAATCAAACAGGTGTTTCCATTTCCTTTCCTTCCTCCAACTCCCATTCATTCGTTTATTCTACGAGAGATTAGAAGGCCCTAAAATCTCTCAGGCCAGGAGGCAAACTCATTGTCTCCATCTTCCATGGCTACTGAAGACCAGAGTGCCCCCAGTGATCAGTATACCTTGGGGTCAGTATACCTTGGGGTTTTCCATCTAGTCCAGGTTCTAAAGGGTAGGACCTAGACACATCCCCATGTCAGGTAACAAATCTTTTCTTTTTTTCTTTTAGAGAGTTTTTTGCTATAGGGCACCAGAAAGACAGAGAGACAGAAAGGGAGAGATCACCCCCCAGGGGGGATGGCCACGCCACAATCCCTTCTCCTCCATTCTCCTCTCCAGATCTTGGGCACTCACGCACATGCACTTGGCGTGAGTTTAAGCCACCGGGTCCACGGTCGACTACATGGGAGTCCAGCGACGTAGCCATTACGCTAAGTGGTGGTCCTGGTAACAAATCTTACACACAATCTCTCACGCTTAGTTTAAAGCATAGGTTGTCAATGTCAGGCTACTATTAGCAAAATATTCAGAATAAATTAAGAGGAAAAGCAAGTTATAATGCAATTTGAATAACATACTGATTTCCAAAGATTTGATCTGCACTGAGAATAAGAGGAAGAGGAGATCCATTTCAAACACCACTATAGGCTGGCAGGTGGCACGGATCCCGCATGGCCATCTGTGCAATTTTGGTCTGGGACCCGGCGGCTTGAAAACCATGCTGGGCACGTGTGCACGTATGTGCAAACTTCCAAAAGGAGAAGGGAGGAGAGGGGACTGTACTATGGCCATCCCTTCTGGGGGTGATCTCTCACTGTCTCTCGTCTCTCTCTCTGGTGAGCACACGCACTCTAGAGTAAAAACTAAAACAACGAAACAATAAAAAAAACCCCCACAATTTCTTTCTTTCTTTTCTTTTTTTTTTAGAGGTTTTTGCTGTAGGGTGCATGCGCTCGCCACATAGAGAGACAGAGAGACAGAAAGTGAGAAATCACCCCCCGGGGGGGACGGCCATGCCGCAATCCTTTCTCTTCCATTCTCCTCTCGGGATCTTGGGCACGCACGGCGTGAGTTTTAAGCCACCGGGCCTGGGACGCGAACCACGGTCGACTACATGGGAGTCCAGCGAGATAGCCATTACGCTAA